AAATAAAAATCTTATGACTTCTTTTTAAAAATATTAATAGTAAACTGTTAAATGTAATAAAGTTCCTTTGAAGTCTGCACTACATGTAAAATAATGGATCTCTATGTTTGCTAAAGATCTTTGTTGTCTCCTTTTCACAGTGAGGATCACAGGAGTTATACTCCCAACAGCACTAACCCTGACAGTCCTGGATGTCAAGTCTTCTGCAGGATGACATAGGATGCACTGTCTGCACCTGCTTATGCTTTTTTGCATCATCTACTCAGTAACAAATTGGTTTGTACATGTGCGCTCAGGTGAACTAGAGTCATTACGTTGGCCCAGCTTCCTTTTGTTCTGTAGAAAACTAAAATGTTAATGAAGATTCACAACTTAAACCACCACAATAGGCAAAATAATTTGGCCACATATCCAGTAGCCAATAAAAGAGGCGGAGTGATGGCCAACAGTGCAGCCAGAGAGGAGGCTCATGGCCTAGATCTTCCGTGGAGAGGACTAACGTGAATGTTTATTAAATTGAAAAACATTTTTTAAAGACAAGATGGACATAACTACACAGTTTTACAGTTTTGGTCAAGACGTTATCTCCCTGCTCTTTGTCTCAAAACTGGTTCTGTGACGTCGTCTCTACTGCGTGAGGGTAACAGTTAATTTGAGAGTTGTTACTCCTGCTCCAGGATGGGATTGTTTCTATTGGATAATTGCCCTCTCTGAGATGCTAACCTCTTCATTCCTTGCACTAAGAGGATGACCTATCTCTGTGCTTTTATGTGTGATTTGTGTATCTCTGGGTGTATATAAAGGTAGAAGTTTTAAGGATTCTAAGGATATCTTTTGACCACTATTGCCTCTTTAACACACAGAATAAAAGAGTTTTTTTCAAGATTCCTTTCTTAGTAAAGCCTATGTAAGATATAACTCTAAACATTGATGTGTTGTATCATAATACTGTATTTGGTACAGTTATTCATCTCTGTGCATTTAATTTGAAAGAAAAGCATGGTTTAAGCCATTATTAAATATTTAACCTAGCTACTACAATGCCCATAGGGAGGCTCAAAAGGTATAAAGTTAAAATGCCAGACTTTATTCTGTTCTGAATTCCTCATAACCCTCATGAAATGTAAATGCCAATTTAAATCAAAAACAAAACATAGGAGAGGTGGCACATGATTATAGTCTCAGCGCTCTCGTGGCAGATGTGGGTAGATCTCTGTGAGATCAAGACCACCAGGTCTTCATAGCCTTGGAAGACAAAAGAAAAATGAGGAGTAACCCAATAGAGGGATGATTTTGGAAGCCCTTGTCAAGACATCCCAATGGACTCTGATATGAGCATTTGAAAATTGCCTGGTTCTGTCTTTTTTCTACTTCCCTGTCTAGGACTTATAACGCTAATTACTCTTGCCTTACTTCTCCTCACATCTCCTATTCAAGATTCAAGGACTTTCTTTTCCCCTTAGAGATAAGAGTTATGCAATTTGGGGGTCTTTTAGATAGACCCACTGAAGGGGTACCCCAATTGCCTCACCCAGTGTCCCTGTTCAGCATGGAAGAAGCCAGAGCTGTCTGCATCCTGATTCCCTAATGGCAATTTGGGTAATCTCTTCAGAGGATGGTGTGATAAGAATAGGAGGTAGGAATTGGCTAGGCAGTTAGGGTAAAGAGACCCCAAAGAAAAGTAACCAGTTTCTTGGCTGAAACTCACAATGTCCTTGGTCCTCTTAGTACATACTCCGTTCCAAAGGCCAAAAATGTCGAAAATAGTTGGGAGTTTGGATCTAATACTTAAAAGATTTTAGGGTTACCTCTTCAGAGGGGGGGAATGCTAGAGTAGCCTAATGCCCCATTAAAAAAATAAATAAATCTCACTTGGGAGGCAGAGGCAGGAAGATCTCCGTGAGTTAAAGGCCAGCCTGGTCTAGATAGTGAGTTCCAGGACAACTGGGGCTACAGGGAAAAAAAAATTAAAAAAAAAAAAAAAAAAAAGACAGAAAATAAATAAATAAATAAATAAATAAACAAACAAATAAATAAATAAGAAGAAAGAATACATGAAGTTATCATGAAAAAGTGATGGGGATATATGGGAGAAGTTGTAGGGGAGGAGTGGGCATGGATTTGATCAAAACACCTTATATCATTATGAAATGCTCAAAAAGTTATTTATTTAAAAAAATAGAAACCTTCAAAACGCTGTGGAAAGTTGGAATACTATGGAGAGAATGTCACTGCACTCTGACTTGACCTATCTTCAGTCCTAAATAACCATTTTCTTTCTCAGTTTGGTATCAGACCCAGCATTCTGTGACAAAGAAAAAAGTTCTTTGAACAGAGCTTAGTTTCCATCAATAAAAGGACTAAGAGTGGGTGAGAGAGAACGCAGGAACTGTAAAGAAATGCTGTGTCTGCCTCTCTCAAGCCTCCATCCAAGTAATTGAAAAGTAACTTGATTGATGACTGTCTTTGTTCTGTTAGTATAAAACATCATGAGACTCATCCCATTCATACAGAAGATGAGGGGCCTCAAGTTTTGTTCTTGGGCCAGGGTCAGTCATATTTGACTCCAGAATAAAACATACCTTTTCCTGTTTAAGATGATAGTTGTGTTTTTACATTGCCAACTGAGACCTTCCTGTTGATCTTGTGTCTCTCTTTGATTCTTTCCATCCTGCGCTCTAAACAGAACCTGTCTCCCCTCTCTGGTTCCTTTCCGCCACAGAAGACTCAACCGATCTGAGATCCTCTCATCCTACCCACACCTGGGAAATGGTCTCCTCACCTGTGAGCAGGAGTCCCCAGCAGGGGACAGGCCATCTGAGAAGGACTGAGGGAGGTCCCATAGTCTCTGCTGTCTCCTGTGTTCTCCTCTGTGGAGAAGAGATCCCGCTCTGGCCGGCACCGCTGCCAAGTCCCACTGCTGTGGTGTCCGCTCTGCTGTCCTTCCTGAACTGAGCTTCCTTCCAGAGCAGAGCACCTTCCAGAGTCATATAGGCTGTGGGCGGGGTCTGTGTCACTGTTACCATGCTGTCCCTTCCTCTCTCAGTGCCTGCCTTTCTCTCTCTCTCTCTCTCTCTCTCTCTCTCTCTCTCTCTCTCTCTCTCTCTCTTTTTCTTTTTTCTCTCAGTGCCTGCCTTTCTCTCTCTCTCTCTCTCTCTCTCTCTCTCTCTCTCTCTCTCTCTCTCATTTTCTGTTTTTGTGGTTTATTCTTCCTGAGCTCACTGTGAGCACCAAGGCCGATAGGGTTGCCTCCCCAGAGAGAACACCAGCTTACCCTAGAGCTGACCCGTGCTGTGTCGGGCCTTGATCCTCAGGCTCAGAGAGGGAGCCCTGTGTTCCCTGTTCCTGGAGGAGTATTTCCTATCATGACACAGGAAATGAGCTGATCACTGTCTTCCCTGTGTTCTCAGTGTACTGGAAACGTAGGATTTACTCCCAGCAGCAAGGGACAGAGATGTCCCGGGGGCTAGAAAAGACCAGATGGGTGATGAGTGGGAGGGTACAGAGCATTATCACTGGTGTCACCAGTCATGTGTGCGATCCACACCAGGGGACCAGAGCAGTTGTGTCAGAGCAGTTGTCTCATGTCCTGGGCATGCAGGAGGAGATGACCTGTGTGCCATGGAAAGAAGACTGTTGGCTATATCATGCTGTAGAAAGTTCAGGAAGATCCTTGAGCATTTTGTGCTGGATGAACTGTGACTCTGATCTGCCCATGTCCTACCTAACATTTCTGGGATGCTTTTTGTGCTCCTTCTAGGTGAATCCTCAGGAGAGAGGAGGCTGCATAGGGTCTGTGGCTGAGAAGTGTCCTCAGAGACATGGGAAGGATACAGTCAAGGGACCAATGTGGGAGGGGACTCCAAGTCTGTTGGGACTGATATGAAACCAGGGTGCAAGTCAAATCATGTCTCAGGGAAGTAAGTTTCCTAGTGTTGATGTGTGTCCCAGAGTTTCTCCTGTGCCCTGTGGCTCAGTGGAGAAGGAGCCCTGGAGCAGGGCAGCCAGCTGTAGCTCCTTTAAGCTTGTTTCCCTGGGCCCCTCTGCCTTGGTCCTGCTGTAGCACAGTACAGAAAGGTGAGCTGCTTCTCAGCAGGGGCTGCAGAGAGCACTGGGCAGGGAGCAGTGGAGCTGCAGCTGGAGATGTAAAGCAGAGACTCTGTCAGGGCATCCACAGTCTGCGTGTCCCTGAGATCCCTGAGCCACGCAGTGTAGGAAAGCACGAAAATGGGAAGCCTTCTCCTCTGTCCATTAGCAGTTTGCTGGGAAAATGCACTTTTATTCCCTACATGAGATGTGACTGTTACTGCATTTTATTTTCTGGATGTTTACACAGTCATGCTGCAAGGAGACCCTGAAGTAAAGGGATACCTAGTCTGTGTCACCCAAGAAACCAATTTCCTTTGCTAATAACAGAAAGTCACTCATCCACTCCTTAAGTTTTTGCCTCTGAGAACTGTTGGATTTGGCATCAGATGGACTAAATCTTCATGTGCTTTTTTCTTCTCAAGTTTATATTTCATTAGTAGCTTCACATAGGCAGGCTCAGGTGCCACAGAACCCTGAATACTTTTTAAAGCTTTTTCACAGCAGGGCTTGGCAATGCAACTTTTAGTTCCAGCACTCGGGAGGCAGAGGCAGGAAGATCTCCATGAGTTCGAGCCCAGCCAGGTCTAAATAAGGAGTTCCAGGCCAGCTGGGGCTACAGGGAAACCCTGTCTCAAAAAGACACACACACACACAAAACAACTTTGTCACAGGAGCCTGCCCTCCCCAAAACAGGAGGGTGTGGTCTATTAATTGTTGTCTCTCTTTGGACAGCTCCATATGACAGGACCTGAATAGGCCCCTGTTGGGTGTTGAGATCAGTCTTCAGAGTTCACTGGGGTGACTGACCCAGGTTCCCTGCCACTGTGAAGCAGACCCCGAACGTACTAGTATCCAAATGGCCACTTTCCTTTCTCTTCCCTTCCCTACAGCCTAACCCTGAACATCACACTCGGGTTCAGGAGTGGAATATAATTTTTATATTTTGGAAAACTGTCTCATGCCTCTAGTTCTCCATAACAAATAGCAGGAAATTCTTGGAACCCAGTGGAATAAACAAGGAACAGAGAGAAACGTCTACACACCTATCTACCTCCTGGCATTCGTACACAGTGAGGGTCTGAGTGCTTAATATTTTCTGCGGAATTCCTATAACATGTACTGAACCTAAACAGTGTCCTAATCTCTTCTATTCCATGCCACTTAAGAGTGTGAGGTGAGTGCCATGCATGGGTCTCAGTGATTTACATGTATCTGTACATGTATGTGGGTCAGAGGGTGGGCTCTGTGAGAGTAGAAGTGGACATGAAATTATTAAGGAGCCAGGTTTACTGTTTCTGCTTTTGATGGAACTTTCTGATAACTGGTGGTGTCAGAGGCTAATGTTAAATTTTTCCTTAATGCAGCCTGAAATCAGCGTTCTTTTATTCTTGGGTCTATATTTGCACTTGAGGAGTCAACAGGAGCAGAAAATCAAGTTCCCCATAGGATACATAAGACCCTCTCTCAAAAGAGGAGGAAAAGTTTCAGATGTTGGAGCATATCTCATTCTACATCTTGGATTAGGAATGCTCAGCCTCTAACTCGTGACCCCAACTTCTACCTCTTTCCTATTGGTGGGCATGTGCTTCTGTGTTTTGTCTTAGAAATGTTGCTGTGATGCTTTGGTTTAATGTTTATTTCCCATTTCCAAATGATTTCCCTAAAGTTATAGTTCTGAAAGAAGGGTCTGTAGTTTTACTTGGACTCTTGGATAAACGGTTCCAAAACTTTTCCCAAATTTTTCCAATGAATTGTGGTCTCACGGGGAGTGGAGATAGAAAAAGGTTAGGAAGTGGATCATGAAGCTGTCTCTATTGTTTAAGCAAGAAGAACCATAGGAAACAAATGAGTGTGTGTGTGTGTGTGTGTGTGTGTGTGTATGTGTATGCATGTGTGTATGTGTATGTATGTGTATGCATGTATGTGTGTATGCATATGGATGTGTGTGTATGCATGTGTGTATGTGTGTGTGTATATGTATACGTATGTGTGCTGGGAATGAACTTAGGGCCTCGTAAATGCTAGGCCAGTACACTACCACTGAGGGATGTTCCCAGGCCATTACAAGAAAGCTCTTGGGGTTACCGAACATATTTTTCAGCTAGCTCAGATGTAATCTTTAGTGAAAAAAATATCTAGGCCCTAGGGGGAAAGTAGTTCAGTGGCGGAGCATATGCCTTGCATGTGACAGGCCCTTGGCTCCATTATTAGCACACTGTTTTTCAAAAGTAAGAAAAAACAATCCTTAAAGGTAGAACCATCTCTGACAAAGGTAAAGCTAAGGTGCACTTTCTAGAAGGGAACAGCAGCATAAAAATAAAACAGGCAGACATGCTGGTGCATGCCTGTAATCCCAGCACTCTGGAGGCAGAGGCAG